ACTCCCAAGAATCTTAAGAAGTTGGGAGAGAGGCCGTCCCACTGGGCTGAGGGAGGGAGGCAGAGGCCCCGTATCCAGCCCTTCCTGATGCCTTGCCCAAACTTCCTAGGGACATGAACCAGCAAATTCTTTTCTCTGCTTAACTAATTCAAGTCGGGCTTCTCACTCAAAGCCCCAAATGTCTTCACTAATATAACACACTTCCAGACTTCCTGCGTGTCCTCAGAAACGAGCACAAGGCACTGGGAACCGGGATCCAGAATTCCCAGGCCATCCTGCTGCCAGGTTTGGGAGGCGTTACAAATGGAGAGCCTATGGGACATGGGGGGCAACTTAATTTCTTGGCTATATTTATGCCTTCCGTTATGCACAGAAGAGCACTCTGGAACTTTCTTAAGTTCTACATCTCCCTGTCCTTTGGAGTAGAAACAGGACAACATCCTTATGCTGGTGACACTTTGATGGTATCAGACTTGGGAAAGAAAAGGAGACCAAGAAGGATAAGAGTCTGGCCTCCCAACATTGATGATGGTGATGGCGTGGGCCGGCCCAGTTCTGGTGCCAGGGTGACACTCAAGCCTCCCAGTGGTCCCGAGCCCTGAAGAGGGCATCAGGAAGGAGAAGTAAAGCCCACAGCACACCAAGTGGCTGCAAAATGACCCCTTCATGAAGACATTTTTTTTTCTCCTTAGCTTTCTAAAAGATACCTTTCTAAACCTCTAAACTCTGCCTCACTAGATCTTTAAGTGTCACCTGAACTGTTTAGCTATGACTCAGAGTTTCCTAAGATAAACTCAACAACTTCCCTCCTCCCCCCCAGGAAAGGTCCTGGCTGAGGCCCGCCCACACCACTCAAAACTCTGATCCAAGCGGCTGCGAGACGCCTTCATGATGTCTAAGCTGTGCACTTACGTGCTTTTGCAGGGAATGATAAATAAGTAGCCTTCTTTGTTGTCTCGTTTCTTTGCACTTTAGCTTGGCTTCCTCTGTTTCAGACTGATGGGAACTGAAGTCTAATCTTAAGACACACAAGGAAGTGAAGCCCTTTGTATTGAAGGCGGGTCCAAAGTGCTGATTCCATCTTCAGTAGGTTTGTCCCAGGACTGAGTTCCTTATCCAGGAATTTCCCTGAGTTTGGTGCGTCACCCTTCCAAATTCCAGCTTTGAATAAATAAACCAGCTAAAGTGCTTGGTTGCCTCAGGGACTATGGGTGCAATTTCTGAACTTCCATCGCCCCCCAGTGGCAATTTTTCTTAGGGATTTTGTTACTCCGAAAGATTTAGCATACGATTCTTCCTTCGAAGTTGTTTAAAAATTTTTGTTGTTGTTGTTACCTCAAAGGCAAGGGAAGTAAAAGTGAAAATAAATGAATGGGACTACATCAAACTAAAAAGCTTCTGCACAGCAAAAGAATCTATCCACAAGGTAAAGAGACAACCATCCGAATGGGAAAATATATTTGTAAGCAACGCCTCCGATAAGGGCCTAATATCCAAAATATACAAAGAACTCATACAACTCAATAACAACAAAAAAACAAATGATGCAATCAAAAAATGGGCAGAGGACCTGAACAGACACTTCTCCCAAGAAGACATACAAATGGTCAACAAACATATGAAAAGATGCTCAACATTGCTGCTATTAGGGAAAAGCAAACCGAAACCACAATGAGATACCATCTCACACCTGTTAGAATAGCTGTAAGCAACAGGACAACTAATAACAAATGTTGGGGAGGAGACAGAGAAAAAAGAACCCTTATACACTGCTGGTGGGACTGCAAATTGGTACAGCCACTATGGTAGACAGTATGGAGTTTCCTCAAAAAACTAAGAATTGATCTACCATACGATCCAGCAATCTCTCTACTGGGTATTTAACCCAAAGACTTGAAAACCCACATCCAAAAAGATATGTGCACACCGTTCATAGCAGGATTATTCACAGTGGCCAGAACATGGAAGCAACCAAAGTGTTCTACGATAGACAATTGGATAAAGAAGCTGTGGTACATATACAGAATGGAATATTAGTCAGCCATAAGAAGAGATGAAATACTGCCATTTGCGACGACATGGATAGACCTCAAGATAATCATGCCAAGCGAAATAAGCCAGAGAGAAAAAGCTGAAAATCACATGATATCACTTATATGCGGGATATAAACCTAAAAGCACAAACGAACAGGACAAACAAACAGAGACTCATGGACATGGACTATAGACTAGTGGTTACCAGAGGGTAGGGGGTGGGGGAGGAGAGGGGAGGGAGACAAGGGAAAGGGGGTCAAATATGTGATGACAGAAAGAAATCTAACTATGGGAGGTGAACACACAGTGTAAACATATACATGCCTTTTACTGTTAAAATGTACAGCTGAAACTTACTGGGTTTTGTAAACCAACGTCACCATAAAAATTAATTAACTAATTTTAAAAAAAGAAAAAAATTTTTTAATTCTCACACTACAGATTATGAAATGTTTGTGTGGAGACAAGTTACTAATGTAGAGTTAATAGCTTATGGATCACAGGGTCATAGATTCCTGTACTTGACAAGAATCATGCAATTGACAAAGGGGTACCTTACAATAAATTCCTATCTGTCACATCTGCAAAGTCTAGTATTAAAGCGATTACCCCCAAATTAATTTTTTTTTAATTTAAAGGAGTTGTATCTGGGTTTCCATTTTTTTGGGTCCAATTAAATCACTGTCATTAACTATGATTTTAAAACTCATGGTTTCCCTTTGCAAACTTTTTCACCATAACATGATTTGTAACATTGTCCAAGGAGGTGAGAAAACATTTGAAGCCCCCCAAAATGAAGGTTTATAAACCATATATGTATAATTTTGCAAAAGCCAACATCAACATACACAAAGTGAGTAGAAATATCAGTCAGATTGTCAAAACTTTCAGCAGATTATACACGAAGTGGCAGAATCAAATGAATAAAAGTCCTGGTGATTCCAAATCTCAACCAGATGAAACTCAGAAATAGGTGTGAGACTTACCCTAAGTCATCAGACATAGAGAGTTTAATAACAGTGAATAGTCCCAATGGTCAGTAGGGACATTTATTTCATCTCCCACCCATCCACCCACCTATCATCCCATATTGTCATCCATCCTCCCACCCATCAATTTAGACAAGTTTAGAAAGGTATCCTATGGGAAATGAAGGAGAAAAAAGTGTGTCTTCACTGCAGGAATAATTTTGCAGCTACTTGGTAGTGTGCTGTGAGCTTTCTTTCTTCTTCTCGATGATCTACACCCATCCATCTTTACATTGGGTATGTGTCAGATGCAGTACCTGCTTTTGTGGTTCTCAAAGCAAAAGAGACTTTAGAGTTTTCGACCTAGTCTCTATTCTGAGGCTCCATTCCCAGAGAAGGTGGAAATAAGCACTACCCAATCACTAAATCCGGGAAAGACCCTCAGCAGGTGGCATCACGGTGGCCTAGAGACCTAGTGGGCCTCGACTGCAGAGAGTACGGATGAGAACTAATCCAGCCACAGCCACTGAGTGTTTCCTCTGAGAAAATTTGGGCTACATGGGATTGCAAAAATACAAACTATTTTGAGACAGAGAGCATGTATACACGAAACAGCCAAGGAACACTTCTATAGCATAATAAGTTCACAAATTCATATTAAATACAGTCAATGCTTTTGGGTGGCTGCATAATGTATTTCACCTTGTTTGCTAGAAAAGGAAGAAGTGGAATTTAAAAAAACAAGACCAGACGGAAGAGGCTCATCTTCAACTCAAAAGAGGGAAGGTTCTTGCCTCCCACTCACAGTGACCTTGGTACTTCAGCTTATTTTTCAGATCGCAGTAAATTCCTTTGCCTCCCCACCTGCTATACCCACCCCCGCGTCCCTTTTAAATTAGAGGCCAGACTTGGAGTCCTTTAAATAACACAACCGAGTGCTACCCTCCTACACACCAAGCATCCCTGCCACTCCCAAATCCTGAGTGGAAGCGCGCGTCCCTCAGCTTCCTTTCCTCAGACCTGCCTGCTTTCCGGCCGGAACATTCTCGTCCTCTCGCCACCCTTCTCCCCTTGCCTTTGGAAGATAAACTTCATCAAACCTCTTTTGTTTAAGAATGTTACACCCCAGTGGTCTGGGGGCTTCATTATCAGTGCCAATGCATATCTTTTCTCTCTCTTTTTTTATGCCTGCTGTAATATCTTGCGGACAGTAGGTGCTCAGTAATTTGTTAAAAGTAGGGAAGTGGGAATAGTGGGGAGAGAAGGATGGGAGGAAGGAGGAAGGAGAAGAGAGAGTAAAGAAAGAAAAGAAAGGCAGAAAAAAGAATTATTTTACAAGGACCCGATATTCTCCCTAACAAACACAACTCAATAATCAAATGCTCACTTGTCCCCCTTAAGGAATGTCCTAATCATGCTTCTGAAGTTTGTTTTAGTGACATAACTTTTATAAAACAAATGTAATTTCTTGGAGTTAATTGTTTAAAATAATGGTTTTCACAGGGTTTTCCTGTGGTACCAGACTGGGCTGTTCTCTGTGAGAAGAAAATACCCCACACCCACCGCATACACGATTTTCAGGAAATCTTCAAATTAACAGATAGCATGTTTTTAATTTTAACCCTTTTTCCACCACACGGTTGTCATATATATTGTCAAGGGCTCACAGAGAACAAAAGGAACACACGACAGAAAAACAAAATTAAAAAAATTAAAGGAAGTTCCCAGAATTAGAATTTCTTTTAAATATTTCACCACTAATATAATATGTATTCAATTGTTTCTTTTTCGCCTGATACAATAGAATTTGTATCTCACGATGTTTCACGAGGAGTATTTTCAATTTATCAGTCACTTTTCAGTGTTAGAATTTCCAGCATAGCAGACTCACCTGCGGAGATATGTATTTGGGTGAGGAAACCCTCGCAGGTGAACCTCAAGGCACACCTGTGCAGCACCTCAGGCGGCTCACTGCTCAGCGCATCAGTACTGTGAAAACCAACAAATAAAGTATGAGGCCACTTTGAGCAATCGTAAAGGAACTTTCAAAAATAAATCAAGTATATTATTATCATTTATTATTATTATTATTATTTAAATAAAGTTAGGGGCTAATTATATTATTGTATTGCAGATAGTAGAATAGTGATCTCTTCGATTCACTAAAAATATATTATAAAGCTGAGTTCATTGGAGGTAACTGAAAACTTTAGACAAATGCTCTTGCTTCCACATGAGAGGAGAGAGAGAAACAATTTTCTCTCACTATGAGGAACTTTAATATGTTCTTTTTTGCCTACAGCACTCGGTCTTCCTAGGTGGTCTCCCATCCAAGTACTAACCAGGCCCAATCCTGCTTAGCTTCCGAGATCAGACAGGGTCAGGCTTGTTCAGGGTGGCATGGCTGTAGGCACTATGAGGAACTTTAAAGTAGCACTTCTGGAACTACCTGTAGTGAATGACTAGATTTTTTTAACTTGTAATCAATCACAGACTGATATTTTTGAAAAAAAAAAAAAATTACTAATGAAATGAAACAAAAAGCAAACATACAAAATACAAGCCAAATTTCTTTATTATCGGATTCATTAGATATAAAATCACTCCTTTAAATTAATTAATTAATTAATTAATTAATTTTAAAAATCACATCGCTCTTTTAAACTGCTACACAAGCTTCTAAATGCTTACTCTCGATCTCTGTACTTTTTTCTCTAGACCACACTTAGGGTCCTCACAAACCTTGTGATCCAAAGTGTAGGCCTTGGACCAGCAGCACTGCCATTGCCTGGAAATGCCATGGCTAAATACATTTTATGTATCCCCTCACAGTAACTTTATAAATTAACCACAATAAATGAAATTATCTGAAGGTATGCCTGTCTCACCACCAAGAGTATTGGTGAGGCAGAGGGAACCCATCACACCCATGCCATGTCATCTAAGACTGGCTCCACATCCAGCACATGGCAGGAGCTCAGGAAATGACAGTCTGCCCTTTAGACTCGAAACTGCAATGTCAAGTTCTGCTGAGTTTCCAGCCTGCTAGCCTGCCCTTCAGATCTCAGACTTGGCAGTGCACATAGTTGCCCGAAACAATTCCTTAAAATAAATACCTTGATAGATAGATAATAGATAGATATAGATAGATAGATAGATAGATAGATAGATAGATAGATAGATGATGGATGGATGATAAATAGATAGATAGATAGATAGATAGATAGATAGATAGATAGATAGACAGACAGACAGATCGCTGGATCTCTCATTGCTTCTGTTTCTTTGGAGAGCTCTACTGATACATTCAGTAAGACAGAGATTTGGCTGCCTCTGTTTCTGATGTAACATCAAGGGAGATGCAACTGAAGAGGAACCTTGAGCAAGTTGGTGCAGAGCCCCAGAGCAGAGGGCCGGAGGAAGAGATCTTAGCATTTCTGTTAGCAATGTTTTATAATTCACAACGTATTTCTTTGGCTGTAAAGGCATACACTGCCATTGCTGGAGGAGTGTGTGTGCGTGTGTTTCAGAGAGAGAGAAGAAAAATCCCAACCTTTGCTACATTCTGATTACATTTTTTAAATATTTGTACCGAGAACCCTGCATTTAGAGCCTATATATCTTTGTTTTCTAATGCATAAGGAGACCATGTAATAAAATAATATCACAAACATCTGTACCTAGTAGGATTCAAGAGTTAAAATATGAATTTTAATACCCCTAAAGCATATTTCTTAAAGAACTGTGCTGGATATGGTAGCGGTAGAGAATGGTTTGCCAGCCAGTCTTCTGCGGCTTTCATTCTTCAATCTCACTTTAGACTCAGTCAAACCCTCCTACCTCTATGGCCACTCAGACCTCACCTTCTTGATTTTCCTTCCATTTTTACTTTTCTTCTCCAATCTATTCACAACACTGAGAATAAATACAACTGCCAAAGAGACGGGACTATGTTTAGGTTAGCTAGTCAAGCATTCTCTTCCTACTAGGAAAACCCAAGTAAAGTCAGAAGATTCTTTAGTAAATATGGGATGAAAAACAAAAGCCTTAAAGGCTATCACCAGTCATACTTGTGGCTTTAACATCCAACGATACCTGATGATTCCCATTTCTTTGTGACCAGCTCTCACTTTCCTGAGTTTCAGTTGTGTTCTGAACTGCTTCTTGGGTTTTACTGCCTAGATAACCACTGTCACCCAAGTGCAGCGTGTCCAACACTAAACTCATCTTGCCCCTTACCTTGTATGTTTCTCAAAATCATCAGCCTTTGGCTTACTGTCTTCTTACCTTTTTCCTCTTTATAAAGTAAGATGGTGATTTCAGATGACGGTCTCCTGTGTTCTGCCCCTGCAAAAGAAAAATCGCGTTGGAGGGTCCTGCCTGGATGGGTGGCAGCTCACGTTGCTCTACAGAGCTTCTCTCCAGAGCAACGCACGTTTCGTCCATTGTCACCAGTGAGACTCCCATCTTTTTCAGCCCGCTATGTTAAACTTGCTCACCCATAAAGGCCACGTGTGGCAACGACTGGCTCAATAACTTAATTACGATAACTCAGTAATAACAATAGTTTACTCAACACCAGCTTTCTGCCCCCCCCAACCCCCACCATTGCAGCTTCAGAATGATTTTGTTGATTTGGGGTGGAAAGAAGGGGAAATAAGTTAAATTGCCGTAATGTAGTAACTTAGCGCATGCATGCACATGCACACGCACACACACACACATAAAGTACACACACGTGTACAAATAAATGTATTATACAGCGGCCAGGAGGAGGCAGGAGCCCATGCCCTAGCTGTCAGGTATCAAGGACAGTAAGTTTCCAGCCTTTGCTTTGTCTAGAACATGGTTTCTCCACCTTGGCACTTCTGAAATTCCACGCTGGACAGTCCTTTGTTCTAAGAGCCGTCCTATAATTTGTCGGATGCTTAGCAGCATTCCTGTCCTTGATCCATTCAGTACCAGTAGCAATCCATATCTGCAGTGTGACAACCAAAAATGTCTCCAGACATTGCCAAATGCCCCCTGGACAGGGGTAGCAAAATTCCACCCCCTCCACTGCTAAAGATCACTGCTGTAGAGGAAAGCAAGGCCCTGTCGCTTATTAAACCTCATACAGGACAGATTCCCAAACAGAAGAGGCTGGCATCTCCCTTCCAGCACTCATCAGAGGATGGTCTTTGGTGTTCTGAACTGGCCCCATGACAGGCCTGCCAGTGCCCAACCAGCCTTGCCCCAGCCATCGCCTACACAGGTATCAAGGAGAGTCTAGTCTTGAATAAGTTCAGCTATAAATTAGAGAAACTTTTTCAAGGAGTAATGCCCTATGTATATCTGGAGAAATGGAACTAGGTTTCAGATGAGTTGGGAATGGTCCACGATCAAAGATGCTTATGTACAATCGGTGAATTAAAATTAATTTTTTAGAGAATTATGTTAAGAGATCCTGGACTCTCATAAAATAAAAAAACAGAGATTAGGATTTATTGATCAGCAATAGTATATCCTCTGAAATTGGTATCATGATGTTGAAAAAACTAAACAGAATGATAACCTCTGGCAATATGTAATTTCATTGGCAACAAATCCCGCTGAAGAGAAGTGGCATTTATTTCAGAGTGAGAGGCAGCCCTGGCCCTTGACATAGATGTGATATGGACGTGGTCCCTCTGAGGACAGAGCGACGAGTCCCGGGGAACCTGTGCAGACCCCGTGGAACACAGCTGTAAGAGGGACCCCTGGTCAGGTCTTAGGAACTTGTCTTCATTCACTGGGCCTCAGCCAAGGCTATAAAGATCACGGGGCAACGCTGGCAGGGAGCCAAGTGAAGGTGTCTGGGCGTAACTGGAGAGTGGGAAAGAGCAGAGTGGAGAAAAGCAGATTCTCCCTGTTGTCAGGGGAATAACTCTTCTTTTTAAAGAACATCTACAGTTTCGCATTTCACTTGGAAGAAGATGCAAACTTCTCACCCTGCGTAAAAGGCCCAACCTGTTCCACCCCAATGTCCCCTTCTACCGTTCGGTCCCTCTTTGCTTTGTGCCCCGTGCTCGCTCACTCTGTGCCCCTCGCTCGCTCGCTCTGTGTGACCCTTACTCACTCAGTGCCTCCCACGCTGGCTTCCCCTGTCCTTTCCCATGGCAGAACACGTTCCTTTACTGTTCCCATTGTCTGGGCTCTTTGTCCTGATCGTTACACGTTACATCATTCATGTCCTAGCTAGACTGTCACCTCCTCAGAGAGCTCTCAAGTCTCTACTGCGCACACAGTTCTCCGGGGGATGCTGTCACAATGCAGGCTTGGGCTCCGTGGTGTGGTGTGTGGCCTGGGCTGACATAGTGCGTTTCTAACGAGCTCCGTGGACACTTTGAGTAGCAGCGCCACCTTCGATCTGTCACACTAGCAGCTTCATGTTCCTCATGGTGTTTCTTACACTTTGAATGTATCTGTTTGCATATTGGATTGTTCATCGGTTGATTGATCTGTTTCTTTACCAGAAGGTAAATTCCATAAGAGCAGGCACTTTGTCCAGCATTGCCACCTTTATATTCCTAGAGCTTAACACAAGACACGGCATGATACAAATGCCCCGTAAGTACTGTTAACTGCATGATGTTGTTCAAGACTCATTGACTCCTTTATCCCTTCGGTGCCCACTTATTGACCACTTCAGTGACTGCCCCCCTCATAAATGAGGAACCAGACTGTCAGTGGCGGGGCAGTGCTGGCTACTCAAATACCAGGTCGGGAACTTCTAGTTACTGGTCAAAGCTGAGATGAAAAATTCATACTAGAATATAAATCTGCTGTCACTAAACACAATTTTTGTCGAGATGACATGTTTTTCATGATGAAGGAAGCAATCCTTTGCTTCCCTTCTGGTCCGAGCTCCTCTCATCTCATGGCAGACTGGTAAGAGTGTGTGAACTGGGCCACACAGCGGGGACATATTTTGAGTATCACCGGTAGAGAGGATAGAAAGCGTAATAAGATATATTACGTAACTTCTAATAACCCATAGGTAGGTTAAGAGAAATATACTTTTAAATACATAATTACAAAATTTTTTTGTCAAGTGCTGTAAGACAGAATTGTGTGAGAGACAAGGAACTGGCCCCCTGCATTCCCCTTAGCTATGCCCTCCCAGGCCACCTGTATTCCAGTAATAATTAATAACCATGAACTTTCCCAATTCCGCCCCGCTGGAGTCATTCCTCTGCCACTTTGACCACATCCCTGCACTTTCCATGGCCATGCCCCTTCTCTCTGCCCGGCCGGATGCTGCTCCTCATGCCACACCCCCGCTTTCCTTCTTGGTCACACCTATGCCCCGTGCAAAATCAGCTGTGCTGTCCTGCTGAGACCCTACCTGATGTGTCACGTCCTCATTTCCAGGCCACACCATCTTCCCATACCCTGGCCATGCCACTCCTGAAAAGGCCACAGCCTCCAAGCTCCCTCCAACGACAGGCCTGGCCTGGGAAATCCAGGGGATGTGGGATAGGCCCCAGGTAGTCCAAGAAATTGTAAAAGGAATCTAAGGAATTTTTAAGGAGAACACGGAATGGTAGAATGTTGGAGAGAATAAAGAATCGTGGGACAAATGGAGAATTGTGGAAAACAGAGTTCTGGAAGACACTGGGAATTATAGGAAAAACAAAACTGTGGGAGAATAGAGATTTCTATATAGAACAGAGGATTGTGGGAGAGAATACAGAATTGTGAGAGAGATGGAGAATTCTGGAAGAGAACAGAGAATTCTGGGAGAGGTAGAGAACTATGGAAAGAAATAATAATTGTGGGATATATGAAGAATTATGGGAGAAGAGTTGTGGGGGAAAGAACACGGAATTGTGGGGGGGGGGGAGAATTATGTGAAAGAGGGAGAAGAGGGGGAAAGAATAAATTGGGGAAGAACAAGGAATTGTGGGGGGGGGGGAGAATTATGTGAAAGAGGGAGAAGAGTGGGAAAGAATACAAAATTGTGGGAGAGATAAAGAAATATGGGAGAACACAGAATTGTGAGACGGATGAAGAATTGTGGGAAATAACATAGATTTGTGGGAGAGACAGAAAATTGCAGGGAAGAATATAGAATTGTGAGAGAGAAAAGAATTCTGGGAGATATAGAGAATTGTGAGAAAGAATATGGAATTCTGGGAGAGGTGGAGATTTGTGGGAGAAATGGAATTATAGGACAGACAAAATTGTGGGATAGATAAGGAATTGTGTGGAGAGAACATGGAACTGTGCAAGAGAGCATAATTCTGAAGAGATAGGGAACTGTGAGAAAAATATGGACTTGTGAGAGACAACAGAATTTTGGGAGAGAGAATTGTGGGGAACAATAAGGAATTCTGGGAACGATGGAGGATTATGGGAACAATAGAAACTTGCAGTAACGAGTATGGAATTGTGAGAGAAAACAGAATTGTGGGATAGACAGAGAATTTGGGGAAAGAATATGGAACTATAGGAGAGATGGAGTACTGTGGGAGAGACAGAGAATTGAGGAGGGGAATATGGAATTGTGGAGGAGACGGAGAATTGTGGGAGAAAATGGAATTGTGGGAAATTGTGAGAAAGAATATGGACTTGTGGGAGAGAACGGAATTGTGGGAGAAATAGGGGATTGCGAGAAGAATATGGCAGTATGGGACAGATGGAGTATTGTGAAAAATAATATAGAATTGTGGGACAGATGGAGAATTATGGGAGAGAATATGGAATTACGGGAGAGAACAGAATTGGGGATGAGCTGGAGAACTGTGGGAATGAAGAGTATGTGGGAGAGAGAATTGTGGGGAAAAAGAGAATTGTCAGAGAGAACAGAATTGTGGGAGATACAGAGAATTGTAGAAGAGAATTGTGTGAGAGATGAGGAATTATGAGAAAAACAGAGAATTGTGTGTGAGAGAGAATTGTAGGAAAGAACAGTAAATTATGCTCTTGACCCAAAAATAAAAAAATAAAAAAACAGGATTGTGAAAGAACAAAGAATTGTGAAAGAGAAGAGAGTATTATGAGAGGAGAACTGTGCAAGGTAATGGGGTACTGGGGGAGAGAATTAAGAATTTGAGAAATATAGGAAATTATGAGAGAAAGAGCAGCATGGAGGGAAACTGTGGGAAAGAACAGAAATGTGGGAGAAACTAGGCAATTGTGAAAGAGCAGAATATTAGAGAACAGAGAATTGAAAGAGAGAATGGAGAAGTGTGGGAGAGATGGGGAATTATAGGAGGAATGGAATTATGGGAATGAAAGGACAATTGTGCAAGAGAGGGAATTGTGGGAGCTCTGAGAAATATAAAAGCAGCACTTCATAAACATAAGCAACTGTAGGTTTGGAA